AGTTTGAGTTGATTCACCACTCCATGAATCTCAACAGTAAATTCTCCTTCACTACCTTCTCCTATAGCATCACGTCTAACCATTAAAAATGAATCCATTAATTGTGCCTTTCTAATTTCCCTCAACAAATCACTAGTCACTCGAGTCATACCTAGTCTCACACTACTAGGGGTCACCTCACAAGTTAAACTCATCTCTCTAAATTGAGCCAAAAGGTCCATCTCCCTAATGATAAGAGAAGACAAATGCAAAGATTTCCTACTTAAAGCATCAGCCACCACATTAGCTTTGCTCGGATGATAACTAAGATCAAAGTCATAGTCCTTAAAGAACTCTAACCATCGCCTCTGCCTCATATTTAATTCTTTTTGGTCAAATAAATACCTAAGAATCTTATAATCACTAAACACCTCAAATTTTTAACCATATAAATAATGTCTCCAAATCTTAAGTGTGAATACCACAGCTGCTAATTCAAGATCATGGATGGGGTAATTCTTCTCATGTATTTTCAGTTGTCTAGATGCATAAGCTACCATTTTTCCTTCTTACATTAACACTCCACCCAAACCCATCTTAGAAGCGTCACAATAAACCATAAAATTCTTACTAACGTCAAGCAACACTAAAACAGGTGCACTAGTTAACTTTTCCTTAAGGGCTTGGAAACTATTCTCACACTTGCTATCCCACACAAACATAACTCCCTTCCTAGTTAAACTTGTCAAGGGTAATGCTAACTTAGAAAATCCCTCTATGAATCTTCTATAGTACCTAGTCAATCCAAGGAAGCTCCCAACCTGACTAATTGACTTGGGTGCCTCCCACTTAAGCATCGCCTCAACTTTAGATGGATCTACTACTATATCCCCATTGGAAATCACATGTCCTAAGAAGCTCACCTCATCTAGCCGAAAATCACACTTAGACAACTTGGGATAAAGTTTTCTCTCCTTGAGAGCTTGAAGTACTACCTTTAAGTGTTCCTTATGTTCCTCTCTAGTCTTGGAATAAACTAATATGTCATCTATGAAGACAACTACAAATTTATCCAAGTATAGATGAAAAATTTGGTTCATGTAATCCAGAAAAATTGTCAGAGCATTCGTCACTCTAAAAGGCATTATTAGATACTCATAATGTCCATACCAAGTCCTAAATGTTGTCATAAGGTCAGCTATCCTAGGCAGTGGATACTTATCCTTAATGGTTACCTTATTCAATTGGTAGTAATATGCACACAATCTCATGCTACCATCCTTCTTCTTAACTAAGAGTACGGGTGCTCCCCAAGGTGATACACTAGGTCTCACAAACCCCTTCTCCAATAAGTCCTCTATTTGTTTCTTAAGCTCCACTAACTCTACAAGTGACATCCTATAAGGTGCAGTAGAAATAGGTCATGTTCCTGGTATTAAGTCTATAGAAAACTCTACTTCTCTTTCAGATGGTAATCTAGACATATCATCAGAAAAGACAACCAAAAAGTCACACACAATAGGCAGTTTATTCACTAAAACATTACTCTCGAAATTCAAAGAAGCTAACAACATGTACACTTGGGCATCATCTTGCACAGATACCTTAACTTGGTTAGCAGTCAAATAGTCCTTACTCACCTTTTCAACAAGCTCACCAAAAACAACATATTTATCAGCACAATTCAAAAGGACATGATTAGAAGATAACCAGTCCATACCCAGAATAACATCTAGCTGACTTAGAGGCAAACCAATCAAGTCAACCATGAAATTTCTACCATCAATACTCAAAAGACACTTTAAATAGACAACAGAAGTAGAAATTGAACCACTAGTTGGTGTCTCTACTATTAATTCAAAAGAAAAGGGAGAAACAGGTAATTTTAACTTGGCACCACACGCAGTGGATATGAAAAAGTGAGTCGCACCAAAGTCATACAAAACAATTAGAGGAGTTCCATTAATGAAACACATACCATGGATTAAGTCTTCAGACTAAGTAGCTTCAGCACCACTCAAGGCAAACACCCTTGCTGTCGCCCTAGGTTTGCTAGCGCTCCCTCTAGCTTCAGTTGTTCCTTTCCTATTCTTGGGGCATTCATGAGCTTTGTGTCCCTTCTCCTGACAATTGAAACATGTTATTACTCTTGGCACCTGACACTTATATGCCCTATGACCTGGCTTCCCACAGTTGAAGCAGTTGTTGCGTGGAACAGAACTCACACTCCCTCCTTTAGAAGTTTGGCTATCTATTGGAGCTTGGCTCCTTTGTTGCGCAGAACCTTGGTTACTCGCTTTAGAAATCGAATCCCCAACAAACTTAGTGTAAGGTTTACCCTTACTGGATGAACCAAACTTATTATGATTCTTCATAGGTCCTCCACTTTTATAATGAGTTACTCTAGCATGATTGTCCTAATCACAGACTCGACACTTGTTTACAGTTTGTGATATTGAGTGATCCCTTGGTAATTGAAAACTTGCTTGATCTTAGGACAAAGACCACTCACAAACTTCACACACTTGTCCTCTTCATTACCTACACCATCATACATGGGATAGAATCTAACAAGGTCTTCAAACTTAGTCACGTACTCAGCCATAGAATCCTCTCCTTGCTTCAACTCAAGGAATTCCACTTTCATCCTATGTTGCACATCTCGTGGAAACTATTTCTCCATGAACAACCGCTTGAAATTCTCCCAATTCACATGGGTACCTGCAGCTATCATCCTCTTCAAAGCGCCTTGCCACCAGACCCCAACCTCTCCAGAAAGCATGAAGGTAGCCAAAGTTACCTTCTACACCAAAGGACATCCCAAAGCTTGGAATATCTTTTCAACCTCAAAAATCCAGTCAACAGCTTTGTCAGGATTATAACCCCCATGGAAGCTTGGTGGATTCTTTTGTTGAAATCTGTCCAGCCAATCCACCTCTGGTCTTTGGTTCAAAGTACCAAGAGCCTGAGCCATCGCTTGCAAAGCATCAGCGATTGCACGATCATTTCTATCCCCAACCATCACTCTTCTAGTTCACAGCAAAGTAAAACAATTATACAACAAATAATAAAACAATCAACACAATCATATACCACACTATACACACAATATTCTTAATAAACAATCCATTCCATCAATTATCTATCAAACAAGCACAGCAGACTCATAACTCACAACCGATTGGATCGACCTGCTTTGATACCACTAAATGTGACACCCTTACTACCCCCAACACATATATTATAATAATGTAAATAGTTATAGAAATAAATTTTTTAACGTTGGTAAAAGGGTTCACATAAAACCTTCATAATTGTCCTTCCATATCTAAAATAATTAAAAATACAACATGAAAAATAAAACCTAAGAGTTTACGAATTATTTTTGAAATAATAAGTAAAACTCCAAATACATATAAAATCAATTTCCTAGAAATCCTCTGCCCCGATGTTATAATATCATAGCACACTCACAACTCAATTGTTGTCATTCTGGATGCCACTCATAGCCGGATCTTCCTCACCTAAAACATCCATAAATTGTACGGTTAGAAAACAAAACATCTATATGTAAAGCACACAAAGAAAAGCCACGACATAATCTCATCATAACTCATTACATAATGAAATATTTACAACCATTTCTACATATCATAATTCTATCAATCATGCATCATCTTTACATCACAGTTCTCAATCACACCAATCCACCACATCATCTAATTCATACTATGTTAAGCTTATGCCACCCTTGTAGCATCTCGTGCCTAAGGTCGTGTCACGCCAACATGAGTACTAATTTCCACACACAAATCTTGCAATTATCACTATGCCATGCTCATGCCACCCCTGTAGCATCTCTTGCCCAAGGTCGTGCCACGCTGACATATGTGATAATTGCCTCACACATCCCATACTATGCCATGCTCACGCCACCCTTGTAGCATCTTGCCCAAGGTCGTGCCACGCTGACATAAGTGTGACGAACCATAATCACATTTCATTCATAATCATCACAAATCTTGGAATTAACATTATGACATGCTCATGCGACCCTTGTAGCATCTCTTGCCCAAGGTCATTCCATGTAGACATATGTGTTAATTGCCTCACACATCCCACACTATCTATTGCCCAAGGTATTATCATGCTGACATAAGTGTGAGGAACCACAATCATATCACATTCACATTCAACACAACATCTCATTTCATGTCAACATACTCACATCATAATTAATCATTAATTAATAACACCTTAGATCATCAAAAATAACATACATCTCCCTTTGACAATTATCAAAGAAAATACAACACAGAGGGTTATACCCATCCAAATAAGCTAAAACATATCTCAAAAGAAACATAATAGAATAATCTACAATTCTTACGAAGATATGAAATTCATACAAAATCATCTACTTAGCTAAAAATGTCAAAAACTGCAACAGATAACATCCCTGTTCACTAAAATAGCCATAACTAGAGTTCTAGACCTATTTTTTGTGTGATTACAACGCCATTGAAAAGATAACATCCAAGGATACAACTTTTATGAAGACATAAAAGTCTAATTCAAAAAGCACCAAATCGCTCAGCGCCCTCCAAAGCACTCAGCGCTTTACCTCTAAGAATTCTCCTCTACCACACGGCCCCCGAAGGGCTCAGCCCTTCAAAAGGGCTCAGCCCTTTCAAAGTGCTCAACCTTTTCCAACAACTCAGCTCTTTGTCTCCAGGGATCCTTCCCTGTCACACGACCCCCAAAGGGCTCAGTCGTTTCATGACAGCGGGCCTCCACACCTGAAACTCAGAAAATTTAACATGGGATCCCTTGAATCCATCCCCATAGTTACAGATTTTAGAGGTTTTATTAATAATAAACTTTTAATCTATTCAATAACTCAATGGTTCTAACAAAAATCACATGTTCTAGATTCCCTTACGAATCCTAACTCACAGGCACATTTCCAATGAATCAATCTCTCTCCCAAAACATCAATTTTAACAATTCATCATATATTCATAATCCTAAACACATACAGAATCTCATAATACCAATAATTCTCCAAACAGAAATAATTATAAAATTATTAAAAATTCCACAAGAACTCTTCTCCACCCATTCCCCTTATATGACTCTACACATAAACCTCCCATTTTCTCCCGTACGTGATGATGCAAATCTGATAGTCATGGTGAAATATGATATTGTTCCTGAGTTTTCCTCCTTAAAGCTTTTATATTTCTCTCTTCTCCTCTTACTCCTTCAGAATGTCAAAAATGAGAATTGATGGGGTTAATCTGCTAACACTTCCTTTTCATTCCCTCGGGTCGAGTCAACCCAATCCAACTCAATTCTAACCTGTTTCTCATTCCTTTCCAAAATAATTATGAAATAAATAATAATAATATAAAATATATTTCTCTTCAATAAAGAAAATAATAATAATTATATCTTTACATCCCAAAAAATATAATAAAAATACAATTTTATAAATAATATTATTTTTTCAAAAATAGTGTTACAATAGTCTCCATTAGAAGTCAAGCAAACAAACGAGGGCATCACCAGATTCCTCAAACTACACCATCATAGTAGATGACTTGGAGAGGCTGACACAATAATACTCATCATCACAGTAGGCGACCTGGAGAGGTCGGTACAATAATACTCACCATCACAACAGACGACCTAGAGAGGCCGGCACAATAATAGTCATCATCACAGTAGACAGCCTGGAGAGGTCGGGACAATAATACTCATCATCACAGTAGGCAGCCTGGAGAGGCCGACACAATAATATTCATCATCACAATAGGCGACCTGGAGAGGTCGGCACAATATTACTCATCATCACAATAGGCAACCTGGAGAGGTCGTCACAATAATACTCAGCATCATAGTAGGCAGCCTAGAGAGGTTGGCACAATAATACTCATCATCACAATAAGTAGCCTAGAGAGGTCGGCACAATAATATTCATCATCATAGCAAGCAGCCAAGAGAGGCCAGCACAATAATACTCACTATCACAAAGCAGGTGGCTTGGAGAGGCCGATGCAACAACACTCAACATCAAAGCAAGATGTCTAGAGAGGCATCGCAATACTCACACGGTAGGAACAACACCAAAATCCATGCCACACATAATGATACTCACCTAGTAGAAGGAATATAAGATTCCTGCCAACCAACCAACAAGTCAGAAAGATCCCCAGAAGATGTTTGAAGTGGCATCATAATACTCGAAAAAGGTTGTTGGACCCTCAAAATCAGTACAAGGTTGGAAAAGGTTGTTAGACCCTCAAAACTAGTACAAGCTTAGAAAAGGTTACTAGACCCTCAAAACCAGTACAAGCTCAAAAAAAGTTCGTTGGATCCTCAAAACCAATACAAGTTCGGAAAAGGTTCACTAGACCCTTAAAACTAGTACAAGATCAGAAAATTTCGGTTAAAGCCTTAATGTTAGTCTAACCTTGAAAGACTAAGCTCAGAATATACTTACTCCTCAGCAAGCAATGATTAAGAAATCACACCATCACAAGACAAGCAGAAGCGGCATGGAGCATCTACACGAAGACAGAAGATCAGGTGGTACATTTTGTCATCCTTGTTACCCAATCGAGTATGCAACCCAACACTCAGCTACTCCAAAGAGTAATGATACAAGCAAACCCATTTATTTGAAGGAAACAACGTGGAAGCACCTACACAAAGAAGTAGAGAGAAGACCCAAACGAAATGTCTACGTCTTTACTTGATTTTGGAAAAGCAACATCTAGTCATCCAAAGGACAAGTAAAGAGGGGTATTTATAGACAACCAATTTCATTCGGGGTACCTAAACCAAGGACAAAGGTCTATTAGAGTGAGACAAATGGCCCTTGAAGGCCCAATGCGTTGGGCAGCATTTTTGTTCTAACAATATCTCTCATTATAAACCTAATTTTGACGATCCGAGTGTTGAAGTTAAAAATCAATGTATCGAGAAGATATAATCAAAATTTTAGCATGATCCAACAGTTAACGAATTCTCTAGAGGCCTTGCACTGCATGTGGAAAGAGCAACACGTACGGCTCCTAAGGACCCAATAGAGCACCTAAATGGGTCAAGATGGCTCTAGAAGGCCCAAAAAACTAAAAAACACTAATTTGGGGCACGGAACGACCATTCCCAAATTGTAATGGGACGTTCCCAGTGTTGGAACGGGCCGTTCCAAAACTGGAATGGCATGTTCCCTTTTCTAGAAAATTTTACGTTGGGTAGTGTTTTTGTTCTGATAATTTTTTTTGCTAAAGACCTAATTTTGACAATCTGACCATTGAAGTTAAATGTCAATGTATTAAAAAGATATTGTCAAAATTTCAGCATGATCCAACGATTAATGAAATCTTTAGAGGCCTCGCATTGCAGCTGGAAAATAGGAGTCTTATACCAGACAAGGTTTTTGCTATGATAGTATCTCTCACTACAGACCTAATTTCTATGATCCAGCCGTTGAAATTGAAGATTAATATATTGTGAGGATACCATAAAAAACTAGCACAATTTGACGGTTAACAAGTTCTCTAGAGGTCCTGCATGATGCCTAAAAAAGACTATTTTTTTATAAAATTTAGTCTCACATCGAATAGCTCTCTTATGTTT